AGAACAGCACTTGGTTTGATGACATACCCAAGAATTTCAAATATTTGAGCTTTTAGCAACGCACACGGTAGATTTGACTTCATAAGCTGAAATACAACATGTTAAAAAAAACTACTCAGCGGAACCTTGCACCAACTGCATTATTTCATTTGGTCTGGTGCTGCATTTTGGCATACTTCTCCCCCTCTATAACACCTGTAGGGTATATCCCCATGGATGCAAACTCCTTGAATAAAGTCATATGCATTTGTTTTATTTTGTTAACCAGAAGAATTTAAGGATGCATGTGGTGTTCTGTATTTTTAACACAGTGAGCAATAACACTTTTGGATACAAAACCAATACTTAGTTAGTAGGATCAATTAAATGGTGACAATACAAAAAATATGTAGAATTTAACCAGATTTTCCTTTTGATGGACAATTTGCTTCCATGTGTCATCTGGATGTATTTCCCTTCTTCTATGTTGCTACTAGGAGGCACATACTGTAGCCTGGTTGTGAATGATTGAGTAATGATAGCTGAATGTAGTGGGATCTATGACATTTTCTATCTGAAACACCTTTTCTATCTGAATCACCTTTTGTATCTGAATCATTCAGATAAAATGTCCAAAAATATGTAAAAAGCTGGGAATTGGGCCATATTTTTTAAATGATAGTGGTTGTATTTATTGTCAAGTCAACTGAAGACACGTTTTTTTTTTACTAATTGTGTTGACGTGGATTATAATATGAAATACTCTTCACCGTTTCCAGGAAGATTATTTCCCATAAGTGGACTTTGAGGTCAGAGTGTATAATGTTGTCTGGTCAGTGTTAGACCTTTTACCATAGAGTATAACCACTTTCTGCATAGACGTTTACAATCATACTTTCCATAGTGTTTTTATACGGTGTTCTTTATTAATATCATGTGTACCACTTCAAACCTCGTGTTTCCTTGTAATTGCCATTCAAAGTGTGAGGCAAAGAAATTATTTCATTGTTCAGGAAACAATTGTGCAAATGGCAACGCTTTTATTTATGTCTAGACTTGACTTTGGCAACAATATAGATTGTATTAATGGGATGGAGCGATAAGAGAATCACTCTCTCCTCAGTTTCTGTTATCCTAAAGGAATTTCTTTATTCAAGTTCACAGGCAGCATACAATCTTTTTACTAATTCATGTTTCCTCCATCCTACTTGAAGCAAAACGACAATCAGAAAAAAGTCATAAAAAGGGCTTTGTCAGCCATAATATCTATCTTAAACAAGAAACTAAATTTCTTCAGGCAAATCTGAAGAAATGAAGACACCAGAAGTTCTTCAAATGTTTGAGAATTAAAAGTCTGACACCTTCTCTCACGTCAAAGGTTGCAATCCACTTTATAAAACAGATATTTCAACTGCGATTCAGCAACTTTCTGTATACTTTTCAATCATTTTCTAAGACAATTGCATACAGGTTAAAACAGATTTTTAGTTTGAATTTTCCGTGGATGTTTTAAAATTTGAGCTCATTTACATGTGTATATTTGTATGTGTGGGTCTGTGTGTGTGTTAGAGAGTGTTAATTATGTGGAACACTGGAGCGTCACTTGCTTTGAAGAGGGGAGAACCAAGAGCCGTACATTATTGATGAGTGACACACATTGCCGGCAGAGTCACAAACAGAAACACTGCCGCGCATTCATCTCTGCATGCTCTACGGCACACACACAACCTGAATTGTGCACACACACGCATTACACACACACATATTAACGGTGTATATATTTGGCAGTGATCCTCCCTCCAGCCCCGGAGTATTTAACAGCGGTTGCTGACATACTTCCAGTACCTGCTATACGTTACGCTTCCAACATTTCTCTCTGTGGTCCATATGGGACTGTCATTGGCTCTGTACGCTACATTATTTAGCAGACGGAGTATTTGATCCCACAGCACGAGCTGATCTCAGTCCATCATTAATGCTGAATTTGGCTCGAACCAGAGCACGCTTTCATTACTGTATTACTCACACACACACACACACACACACACACACACACACACACACACACACACACAAAACCCTAAAATCAACAAAAACTTATTTCAATGTTTCTGAAGCTCCTCCTCCTAAATAAAAGCCCCAGTGGAAGTCGCAGCAGCTGCCCGGCTGCACCGATCATTAACTTTAGTTTTGTGTGACTTTAAATACCAAATGAGGAGCGCTCCATTCGCTCACCTGCGCTGCGGCTGCTTTGTCAATGTCGTGTGCTATTTAAAAACACGCTAACGAGAGACACGCGGCTCTCAAATCTGATTTCCACACACACTCGTGATCACAGAGCAGAAACAAAAACACATTCAAATATAAAAAGTGAGATGTCGCTGCAGCTCGTCTTTACATACGGATCATTTCCATAAACAAACGTCGGGTCATTTGAATTCTCACCTCACGGATCCTTTGGGGACGGGGATGGAGGCGCAGAGGTTAATGGCAGCGCTGCAGAAACAAGGACAACACATTTTAATTATTAGAATACTCAATATATGGAGTGCCCACCAATCAGCGCGCTGGATTGCTTATTTCTAGTCTTTTAGGCAGTGAGACAGGCAGTGAGACAGGCAGTGAGACAGGAAGTGAGACAGGCAGTGAGACAGGCAGTGAGACAGGCAGTGAGACAGGCAGTGAGACAGGCAGTGAGACAGACAGTGAGACAGGCAGTGAGACAGACAGTGAGACAGGCAGTGAGACAGGCAGTGAGACAGACAGTGAGACAGACAGTGAGACAGGCAGTGAGACAGGCAGTGAGACAGGCAGTGAGACAGGAAGTGAGACAGACAGTGAGACAGGCAGTGAAACAGACAGTGAGACAGGCAGTGAGACAGGAAGTGAAACAGACAGTGAGACAGGCAGTGAGACAGGAAGTGAGACAGACAGTGAGACAGACAGTGAGACGGGCAGTGAGACAGGAAGTGAGACAGGCAGTGAGACAGGCAGTGAGACAGGAAGTGAGACAGGCAGTGAGACAGACAGTGAGACAGGAAGTGAGAGAGGCAGTGAGACAGGCAGTGAGACAGACAGTGAGACAGGAAGTGAGACAGGCAGTGAGACAGACAGTGAGACAGGCAGTGAGACAGGCAGTGAGACAGGCAGTGAGACAGGAAGTGAGACAGGAAGTGAGACAGACAGTGAGACAGGCAGTGAGACAGACAGTGAGACAGGAAGTGAGACAGGAAGTGAGACAGGCAGTGAGACAGGCAGTGAGACAGGCAGTGAAACAGACAGTGAGACAGACAGTGAGACAGGAAGTGAGACAGGCAGTGAGACAGGCAGTGAAACAGACAGTGAGACAGACAGTGAGACAGGCAGTGAGACAGGCAGTGAGACAGACAGTGAGACAGGAAGTGAGACAGGCAGTGAGACAGGCAGTGAGACAGGCAGTGAGACAGGCAGTGAGACAGACAGTGAGACAGACAGTGAGACAGGCAGTGAAACAGGCAGTGAGACAGACAGTGAAACAGACAGTGAGACAGACAGTGAGACAGGCAGTGAGACAGGAAGTGAGACAGGCAGTGAAACAGGCAGTGAGACAGACAGTGAGACAGACAGTGAGACAGACAGTGAGACAGGAAGTGAGACAGGCAGTGAGACAGGCAGTGAGACAGGCAGTGAGACAGACAGTGAGACAGGAAGTGAGACAGGCAGTGAGACAGGCAGTGAGACAGGAAGTGAGACAGACAGTGAGACAGGCAGTGAGACAGGCAGTGAGGACGGACAGAGGACGGAAGTCTTTGCGCTCAAGTTCGAGTCAAGTCCTAAACTTTGAAGAACCGAGTCTTAAACAAGTCATTTTGTGCTTTTCACCAAATGTAATGACATTGATCAACATAATAATAGTTAATAATCAAACTGCTCTTTATTGGTCACAATCTATTGGTTTCCTATTTTAAAAGGGATCAGTAAGGTGTCAAGTCACCTCAAGTCAGAAGGCTCAAGTCCAAGTCAAGTCCAAAGTCATCAAATTGGTGACTCGAGTCCACGTCATGTGACTCGAGTCCAAGTCATGTGACTCGAGTCCACGTCATGTGACTCGAGTCCAAGTCAT